CTGCAGGCTTTTATCTGGGGGGGGGGAAGAGGCTCTCTTGCTCAGAGGGTGGAATCCAGATGAGAGGCCGGATGGCGGCTGTGACGTTCTGCGCCTGTGAAAGCCTGACATTCAGCCAGCAGGTTTATTTATTCCTCACCAGCGCAGAAGATGGTGTTGTTAATGTGATGGGTTGCCTCTTTGCTTATTTTCGTAATAAGACTTATGCCGCGACATTTTAAAGTGGACTGAATCCATTTGAATATTCTGTCAACGCCAAAATTTCTTTGAAGAAAAAAATACTTTTTAAAATTATTTTTGCTTTAAAAACTCTTTTAGGGAAATCGAATGAGCTAGTTTGCGAAGAATAACTTCATTGATTAAAATTGAAAGAAAAAATCGTATATAAAATAATTCAAATTAACCAATTCAATTTGAAAAAAAACATCAAAAGTCTGTTTCCTTTCAAAGTTTGTGCAAAACTGAGTGAAAAATGTGGACATTTTGTGTATTTCAAGTAATTGCGATGTCAGTTAAAACCTGACATATAAATATATATAAAATTGTTTAAATAAATGGTTCAATTACTTAAATGATTTTATAATAAAATATAGAGAATAGAGTGAGTAAGCAAAGACGTAATTATTGATGACGTTGCTTAAACAGACAACTTTGGCGCATTGTAATGTAATAATACGCCAATGAGCCTTTAGAATGCTGTATATAAATATGCACAACACAATCAATATTTCGCCTTTTTAGTTCTTACAGAAAAAGCCAAGAACTGAACATTTTTGTTCGAGCGGCCCTGTTTTATTTGACTTTTGCTCATTTCGCACTTTCTCAAAATCCTCAAGCTTCCATTTCATTTTTCTGGGGACTCGAGTTTAAAAAGGTTTTAGCTTCATAGTGAAAGAAAAATGTTCGGCTCAGTCGATCGAGGCGTTCACAACTATTTTTAATGGCTTCTTGGAACCATTGGCTTTTTTCTGGCGGTTGTATTTTGGATCGTTATCCAAGGACTTGTTCGGACGGTGACCTCCCGACCTTCTCTCCGTCTGCTCAATGCTGCCTTTCCCTGTGTTTTAATGTGCGCAGTCAGAAAAGTGAGTCTCAGTCCGCTGCTCACGTTCATGTTGGATTCCTCAGTCCAAAACAAGCAGAACCGTAATACATGTATCATTCATTGAGCCCGGTTCTGTTTGATCATCAGAGCAGCACCACTTCACGAGGAATATTCGGTCCTCCAATAATCCATCTGCTCACCATCGAATCCTGGCGGCTTTCTCAGTGGGGTTCAAGGCCCTTTCTGGGAAAACTGTGAAATCTTGTAAGAATTCTTTTGTGAACACTTTGTAGAATTCATGCCGACTCTTCTTAAGTTCCTTTTTGACATGAACATTCTCAAAGGTCCTCTGGTCATAGAAAGATGTTTGTGTGAAGAAGCCTGTTTCCATCAAACGAGTCTTTTTTTTTTCTTTTGCTAAATATGACCCAATTTCACTAGATTTAGTTAAAATGAATTATGGTGACGATTACTTGAATATTACATTTTGACCACGTTGTTTTTAAACTAGTGTAATTTTAGCATATTGCTTGAGGAAAATCCAACATTTAAATAAATTTGTATTATTTGAGGACAATTTGAATCTTGCGATGCGATTCTAAAAACAAATCGTCCGGCAATTATGACCCTTTTTTACAATATTTTAATTACTTAACGTGAAATAAAATAAAAATTAGCAATAATATATTTAGTACGTTGCATGCGTTTAATTCCTATTTGTTGTGAATTACTAGTAGCAAATGGAGCAAAGCTATACATGAACAATAATCCATTAACTAAACTAAAATTATTAGGTAATTTGATACTTTTTATATGAGTCAAAGAGCTTCCTGGCTGACTGTACATTGAGTTATTGATCAGCCGGCGCGGTTTGTTCTGGGTAATTAAAACGCGACTGTCGATGGAACTTGATTGTCGTGTGAAAGGGAAGGAAAAGGTCGGGGTGAGATCATCGGTCTGCTCTCTGCTACGTAACTTTGAATTGTGTCCGAGCGAATAGAGACGCGTGAGCGATTACGTGCTCGCCGGCTAGAAACACAGTATAAGATTTATACAAAAGATTTTTATACATTTAAATAGTTTTTACATTTCATTTGGCATTTTTGCAAAACATTTCTTCCACATCATTCATTAAAAAGGACATTTGAAGTCGATACAGAGAATTAAATTTGAGAGCCTCAAATCTCCGAAAAACATGTTAATCGTTTGCACTTCTGACACTTTCTCAGCACGGGAAAATAAAATTCCTAAACAGAAAATATATCGATGAAGACGGATCTGAAAGTTTGGATCACACAAAATGGCGGCTCCGCAGAGGCGCCCGCAACATACGCGTGGAACCCCAAAATGGCTTCAAGTTCAGCAACCAATGGCGCCGTCCGTCGCCCTCTTTTAGCATCGGCCTATCGCAGCTCGTGGAGCGACTCGCGGCACCGTACGCGGGGGGGGGGGTGGGGGCCCGGGGGGGGGGCGGGGCGCGCTCCACGCTGATAAGGTTTCTTGGAATCGCGCCGTCGGGGCCCCATTGGGCGCCAGCCGCTGTGAGAATGTTTGACAGTGGAGTTACTAGGCTGAGCGGCACCGGGTGCTTTTTTGTGTTTTTTTTTTTTACCCCCCGTGCAGCGTGTCAACCAATCATGAAGAACCAGCACGGGGTCCTGTTGTTGTTGTTGTTTTTGTGGAGGACTTGAGGGCAAGAAGCGAACCCCTGCACGTTCCATCAGCGCAGTCCACCATATCCTGCCGGACCCCCATCAGTGTTTCTGCACAGAAAAACTAAAAACCTCACCGCTTGATGCAGAAGGTCCTTCAAGAGAGTTTTTCTTCCTGTAACAGTATTGAGACGTTTGCGCCCCCCCCCCCCCCCCCCCCGTCACGCCCCACGCTCCATTCCGCCCCCCCCCCCCACCACCGAGAATGGGGACGCCGTGTGCGGTTTCACGGTACCCGCCGTCGATGAGTTGTTCCGGGTTCCACCCCCCAAGAAGCCATAATGAGCTCCTCCGTCAGGCCATTCAGGTGTGCGCGCCCGGCTACGAGGGAGGGCGGGCCATTGTTTGCTGACAAGTGGAGCCCCCCCTCCCCCCCCGACACCCCCCCTCCCTCTCTATTCTCGGGGCAGATGGGTGGTGTGCGGCGGTGTGGCTGATTGGAGGTGAGAGCCATATCGGCCGCTGGAGATTCGCTAATGCAAACTCCAAACTCCCGCGTATTCACTACTCGCCGGCCGCAGCGTAATCAGATAACTGGCCGACTGACAGGCAGCAGTGGAGTGGAATGTGGAGAGAGACGGATGGACGACCAGGCGAACGCCAACCTGTGCGTGTGTGCGTGTGTGTGTGTGCGTGCGTGCAGCCCGCTCCATCCTGCAGCTTTGCATCCAGCCAATTTACAGCAGACGTATTGATGGAAAAAGAAAAAAAAGCAGGCGTCTATTATTATTTCTGCTCCCTAATTGGTTTTCAGCCGGTCATTTTCTGTCTGTCCATTAATTCCCTGATGCGATAACTCTGAAGGATGCGCCGCTCGGAGAGAAAGGCTTTTACCGAAAGCTCGCTCCTGAGTAGCACCTTTTTTTTTTGTCATGTGTCTTTATGCCGTATAATTTCGGCGGCTGAATGAATTCGGCGCCGAGCCCCCCCCCCCTCCCCCTCCCGTGTCAGTGAGGAGAATGGAGGGAGCTAAAGGATCTTGCAGCCACATAGAGGGGCGAGTGTGTCACGTCGGGTTAATTAAATCCCCGCTAGGAGGATGACAAACACACAAACTCCTTTATTTCAGCTCGGGAGTCGCCGATACAACAGCACGTGTGATCCCATTCCAACAATAAGTGACCTGGCCCCCCCCCACACACACACACACACACACCGTGCACACCGTGCTTTCTCCACATCAGTAACAACAAATGAGCCTAAAAGAAGAAAAAACCCTCTGCTGATCAAACGGAGGATTCGCCACCTTTTTCCTCACCAAAGTCATCACGCGTCTGCTGTTTGCCTCCCGGCCCGCAGCCTCCACCAGGCACCACCGGGCGTGAAAGCCTGCTGCCTCGCCGCTCGTAACGTTCCCGCAGCGTTCCTACAATGTTCCACCCTCCCATCGCGAGCTGAGCGCCTTGTTACAAACCTCTGCGTTCTCTTATCGGGATTCTGCCACAACAGATCAACAAAGCCGCGCCGTCGGTTCTCCCTCCTAAATCCCCTGGAATATGTTGCCAGCAAGCGCCCCCCACCCCCCCCCCCCCCGCTGATTTTCACTCCCAGCATCCCCCCACGGTGCCTCATTAAGAGCCACAGAAACAAGCGCCCCTGTGCTGCAGTGAGGCCAGGCCCAACTCGCCGTGTGCTCCGGCCTTCGACGGCACGCCGTTTGGCCGCCAGCGTGTTTCCGTGTGCGTCTTCATTATTTTCGACATTTGAAGGTCATCTCAGTCGGGCACTTGTGAGAAGCCAAAGGATTTTACTTAA